GACTCTGCCCAGGATGCTGCCTTCCATCCTGCAGCCGGAGCCACTGGGGTATTAGCCCCACAGTCCCTGGAAGTCACTTTCCTTCTCATCCCTCCTTTCTTCTTCCACCCAGGCTCATCCCTCCGCAGTCAATAGATCTCCATGGTCTTCCTTGCCTTTGGAGATTTTGACCATTCCTAAGAGAAACAAAAAAAAAAGAGCCAAATGCTCATTGCTCACCCCTGTAATCTTAGTTACACAGGAGGCTGAGATCTGAGGATTGTGGTTCAAAGCCAGCCCAGCAATGAAGTCTATGAGACTCTTATCTCCAATGAACGACCAAAAAAGGCAGGCGATTCAAGTGGTAGAGCAATAGCCTTGAGCAGAAAAACTCAAGGACAGTGCCCAGGCCCTGAGTTCAAACCCCAGAGGGATGAGGTAGGAAATCAACCCCAGATTTTCAAATACCAAAGCCTGGTGTGTTTTCATCATCAGGGCAAATAGCAGGCTGTGCCTTGGAAAAAACTGAGCTATCATGCCATCCAGTCGCCCTTCTTTCATTAATCTTTTACAATCATTCACTCTTTTTCCCTTTCATTCATCCATTCAGCTCAACCAACTCTGGATTCTCTGCGAGAGATATAGAAAGACTAAGTCTTAAGCGGAGCCATCAGCAGCACACATTTAGAAGAGATGGATGCGTCCGTGTTCAGTTGTGGTACAGCATTGCACTTGCTGTAATTTGGGGAACATGTGGAGACTTTGGGGCCTCCAGAAGAACTGGTAACATGGTTCATAGGGAAGGTAGGAAAGACTTCTCCAGTAATTTGATGGGTAAGGGGAATCCTCAAAGAAGAAGGAAGGAAGAGTGATAAAGACAAGCAAAGAAAACTGTGGAAATCAAACATACAAGAGCATCATATATTTGGAGAGCAGCAAATGGTTCCACATAGCCAAGATAAAAAGCACAGGGGACAGAAAGGGACTGCGATGGGGATAAAGGGGGTTTTGAGGCACTCAGTCATAAAATGCCTATGGGACATGTGTAAACATTTGGATGTTTATAATGCTTACGCAGGAAGGTAACTTGATCAGATTTGCCCCTTGGTTAGGGAAAAGGAAGAAATTTCAAGGCATGGAAACAACCAAGGGATGGGAGCAATGACCCAAAAGCTTCATGGTGACAAACTGAACAGAGTAGTGCTCTGGGATAGAGTGATATGAGCAGCTGCAAAGCTCCAAAGCAGCAGAATCTACAAGTCTTGTCATTGAAAATGGAAGATTAGAAAGAGGAAGTGCTTTTCTTTGAAGCAAAGAACTTTTACACAGCTCTGTACGGGGTAATGCAGAGTTTATTAGTCCCCCTGCCATTGCTAATACTTCCTTGGCTCATCCAGTGATGAAATTACAGGTGAAGAGGGTCCTTCTCCCGTCAGTTCTTCATAAACTTTCAGCCAAGAAGCAGGCATACCCTTGCCATTATGGTGGTGAGGGAGGGGAACGCGGGGGGGGGGGGTCATCCCTCGCAGAATCCTTCCTGTGTATGAAGTAGCTCTTCTCTTTGAGGTATGTCATTCCTGCTTGATTATTTGTAATCGGTCCCTATCATTCTTTGACATCGCATAGGTACCAAACACAAGGACTTTGTGAGTTTACAGATGTCTACCCAGCACCCAGAGCAGTGTTTGAAACATCAGAGGCGCACAATTAATATTTATTGAAGGAACAAATGAGGACCTCTGTGGATAGCCAAGAAGGGCAACCCTCCTTGGGAGTCCACAGAAATCACTACCTCTACCCAGGCATCCGGGCGCCATGACCATGAGCAATAGAATAATCAACTGCTCTGAATCACAGCTCCTCATTAACCCCTGGGCAGGTTTGTCCCCTTGGTCTGTTCCTGTTCTAGCTGTGGCTTCATCCTGGGGATGAAAAAGTTCCTGGGAGGCCAATTCCATTCAGAGCAAAGATGACTTAAATAGTAGAATCTGAGACTAAATCAGGACAGATTCCAGTCTCCCGTTCTCCCCCAAAGCATAATATATACTAATATTATTTTTAAAAAATAAAACCAGTAGGGATTTTAAAAAACAAAATTGAAATCCTCAGACATTATTCGTTGGAAAACAAAATGGTGTAAACAGCATCAAATAAATTTGGTAGTTTCATACAGAATTAAATAAGGTTACCATTTACCTAGAAACTCAACTTCTAGGTATTTCTCTAAAATCAACAAAGGCATATGTTCATGAAAACACTTGTACATGAATATTCATAAAAGCCAGAGTTGCCTTTAATTCATAATCACCAAAAACTTGAAACAACCAAATGCCTATCAACAGGTAAATGCTTTTTCCATCTACCTTTCCTTCTTTCCTTCCCTCTTTCCTTTCTGTCCTTCCATCCTTCTTTCCTTCTTCCTGTCTATCCTTCCTTCCCTCTTTTTTCCTTCTTTCTCTCTTTCTTCCTTCCTTTCTTTCTTTTATCTGGTACTAAAGATTGCATTAAGGGCATTGTGCTTACTAAGCAGTCACCTTACCACTTGAGCCACACCTCCCAGTCCAGTGGGTTTTTTTAATGTAGCTTATCCATAAAATGGAGTACTGTTCAATAGAAAAAAAAAAGAACAAACTCATGGTCCTGCCTACAAGAATGTGGATGAGTATCAAAAGTGTGACAGTAAGCAAAAACATGTTTACATTGTATAACTTCCTGGTGACAAGAAATTAGTGCAAGAGGAGACTGGGGAATTTGAAAGGTGATGAAAAGTGCCATGTCTTGATAACATGAGTATAGTACACACAACTGTCAGATCCCATTTTAAATATATATATATATATATACAATTATGACAGCATTTTATTATATGTAAATTATACCTCAAGAAAATTGACTTATAAGGGCTGGGAAGGTGGCTCAGTGGTAGAGCGCTAGCCTTGAACTGAAGAGCTGAGGGACAGCGCCCAGGCCCAGAGTTCAGGCCCGACAACTGGACCCCTCCCCCCCAAAAAAGAAAGAAAATCAACTTATAAAAGAGAAACAAAAGTATGTTGTGTGTGTGTACTTGCACACAAGTGCTGGTACTAGTACTTGAACTCAGGGCCTCATGTTCTTCCTTAGCATTTTCTCTCAAGGATGATGCTCTACCACTTGAGCCACAGCTCCCCTTCTAGCTTTTCACTGCTTAATCAGAGATGAAGTCTTAGGGACTTTCCTGCCAGAGCTGGCTTTAAACAGGGATTCTCAGATCTCAGCCTCCTGAGTTGCTAGATTACATGCATGAGCTAGCAGTGCTCAATTTTGAGACAAACAAAAAACTTAAAGGCAGAAGAGTAAAAGCAGCATAATCCTAGCTTCATTTGTAAATCTGCTTGCATGAGAATCTAGATACCTATATATTGGTTATGAACTCTGAGTATTCTGGAGGGTATTATTTCTTCTTTATATTTTTTCAAAGTTTTAGGAATCACTGCTATTCTTATGAATCACATACACACACGCACACACGCGCGCGCGCACACACACACACACACACACACACAAATTTTTTCTTATCTATTTGCCAGATGAGTCATGGCTTTGTAGGGGTTTTCCCAGAGCAGGACAACCATCTTTTGGACTTAAATTTCCCAGTTGGGCTCCCACAGCTGGTCAGGCCTGTGCTAACAGATGTTCACTCCCTATTTGCTCTGAAGCAAAAGAGCATGAAGCTGCAGAAAGAGCTGAGCGGGCCAGAACATTCCTAGAAGCTGCATGTGTTGGTATAGTGTGGCCACAGGAGTCCCTGCCATTCAGAACCAAAGTTGTTTTACCAAACCCTGACTTTGACAGGAAGCTTGAGCCTGAAGCCCTCCTACAGATCTCTGTAGTACAGAAGGAGTTCTAGCCCCTGGAGCCAGCATTTACTGTGGAGCTTTTAAAACTACAGATTCCCAGATGCCCTAAGCTCTAGAACCAACAGTTACCAAATCCAATGGTGAAGCCCCAGGATCTATATATTAAAAGTCTCTCCAAGACAGTCTCATGCAGCACACAGAATCTTGTCTGCACCAGTGTGGTTGCCAGCCTCCCTGCAAAGGATTACCTGAGACCCTTGTGAAAAACACAGATCTCAGCCAGGCACTGGTGGCTCATGCCTGCAATCCTAGCTACTCGAGGAGACTGAGATCTGAGGATCACCATTCAAAGCCAGCCCAAGCAAGAAAACCCATGAGACTCTTATCTCCAATTAACTACCCAGGAAAAAAAAAGCCAGAAGTGGAGCTGTGGCTTCAGTGGTAGAGAGTCAGCCTTATCAAAAAAAAAAAAAGAGCTAAGGGATAGTACTCAGGTCTTGAGTTCAACCTCCAGTATTGGCATGCACACACACACACACACACACACACACACGCACACACATGCACCACACATACAGATTCCTCAGGCCTATGCTCCAGGAATCTCCTGCTTGAACTAGATTCTGCTATGATAAATCCATAAATTGCACTGCACAAAGCAAAACCTTAGGGCAGATGCCAGAGAGTACATTTCCCTAACCTAGTGGGGAGGAGGGGTGAAGGAAGAGGCCAGAGGACTGATTGGGATATGCCAGCATGCTTGAATTTATTAAGAGGTTAGCCCAGTTTCAAAGGCAGCGGAAAGCTGGGAGGAGGGTCAAAGCCAGAGGCACTGGCAGGAGAAGCTGGCTTGGGGATTGGGGGGGGGGGGGGGGGTTGATAAGATGTTTGACCCCGGGCAGTGAAGCCACGGGGAGTCACCCTCTGGGCCCTGGGGAGTCGCGTCAGGGGGGCCCAGCTTTAATTTCTCTCCAGGACATGGCTCTTGTTCCCAGTATCTTGAAACCAGGGAGAGGAGCAGGCAGGCGATGGAGAACACGTCCTCCTTTTCCATGAGAGGCCGGGACACTGGTCTTGAGGGATGGGGAGAAGGCAGGTCTAGAAGGTTCTGCAGAGTCTCCAGCCAGAGCTGATGGAGGCTGTCTGTCCCCTTCACACGGCCCCACGCGGGGGTGCCGGGTGTGATCATTTCGTGTCGCAGACAGGTGAGGGCTGGCAGCACACAGGGCCACAGCACCCTCCTGAGCCGCCACAACAGCCACCACAACAGCTTCCACATCCTCCACAGCCTCCACAGCCTCCACAGCCAGAACCCCCACAGCAGGAAGACCCACAGCAGCCTCCTCCGCAGCCCCCCCCTCCGCAGCCCCCTCCTCCGCAGCCGCAGCAGGAGCCGCAGCAGCCGCAGCAGGAGGGCTGGCAGCAGCACTCCTCACAGCAGTCTTGATCTTGGGTGCAGCAGTTGAAGCAATCCCCCGGGCAGCACCCCATGGTCCCAGCCGGTCAGGTCGCAGAGTCAGGAACGCGGCCGAAGTTTCCCCAGGTCTGAGGGTGGCCAGCAGAACCATGGCTTTTATACCCCCTCACCCTGGGGGAAGGAAGGGGGGGCTGGTACAAGACACAGGATGTTTGCTTTGTTATTATTTGTGTCAGTTTCCAGGTGAACCGTCTTATTAACTGGCTGTTTATCCCCCCCCCCCAAACCCCGAGTACCTCAACTCATAAAAACAAAACAAAACAAAAGAACAAGAACCCTACTCTTCCCCAACTGCTGTTTGTCCAGAGGGTAAAAATACATCTAGGAAAAGACCTGTCATTAGCCAGGTGGAAGAGAGGGAGGAGAAGCCAGCCACAGACTCTGGGCTCCTCTCCCACATCTTCTCTCGCACCCCTGAAGACCTCTCTACCTCACCGGGGGGCTCTTTTTCGTGGAGGACACCCCAAGGCAGCCAGGACAGGAAAAACTCCATGCCCTTGTTCCTGGCACCAGGCTACAAGGGGGTGCAGAAGGTCTGATCATGTGGCTTCTCACATGTGGAAATGGTATCGTCTTCCCAGCCCAGGTGAGCTAGGCAAATATTTGTGTCTGTGTGTGTGGTATGCAGATTGTGTAGCACATTTGTTTGGGTGTGGTGCGTGAGCCTCAATCACAAGTAATAACTGACTTGTGAAATGGAGAAAGACTCCTCATAAAACTGCCAAAGGTAGGGGAGCCACATTCTCTCTAGACTGCAAGGGGAAGTGAAACAGGCACACTTCTCTGCGGGGGCAGGAGGAGCTGTGCTCAGCACCTGCTCCCCCACCCCACCCTGCCCCATGCCTTTCCTTGGTGGAAAAGGGAGATACAGGGGAAAGAAAGAAAGGTAGGCAGGGAGGGGGAGGAGGGAAGGAGAGATGAGGAAGGAAGGAAGGAAGGAAGGAAGGAAGGAAGGAAGGAAGGAAGGAAGGAAGGAAGGAAGGAAGGAAGGAAGGAAGGAAGGAGAGAGAGAAGGAAGACAGGAAGGAGAGATGAAAGAAAAGAAGGAAGGGGAGAAGGAAGAGGAGGGAGGAGAGAAGGAAGGAAAGAGGGAAGAGGAGGAAAGGGAAGAAGGAAAGAGATAAGGAAGAGAAGGGAAGGAAGGAGGAAAGGGAAGAAAGAAGGAGTAAAGGGAAGAAGGAAGGAAGGAAGGAAGGAAGGAAGGAAGGAAGGAAGGAAGGAAGGGAAGGAGGGAGGGAGGGAGGGAGGGAGGGAGGGAGGGAGGGAGGGAGGGAGGGAGGGAGGGAAGAAGGATCCTCAGATGGAAACAGACAGAACAGGAGAGAAAGTGAGCCCTCCACCATCTCAACAGTCAACATGAGAACTGTCCCCATCTGTGTCCGCACCTTAGGGACAGGGCCCCACCTTCTGTAGAACTGAGTTAACACTAATACATAGCCCAGCTCCTCACCCCTTGAAGATTGCCTAGGAGAGGGAATGCGGTCAGAGGGGGAAGCGCTGAGGATGAACAGGGCCACAGGCAGCTGCGGCCGCAGTAGCAGCAGCAGAAACTTATGTCAAAAATAAAGCACTGAACAAAACCAGTGCAACCACACAGAGGTGCCTAGTGATCCGACAGGTAGTGAGGATTGGAGGGAGAGGAGTGAAGCAGAGAGAGCTTATACCTTGTCATTAGTGCATTTTTAGAGCAAGGGGCAAGTCCAACTGAGTGAGCAGCCCCTGTCCATCTTACAGGATCGCTGGCAACTTGGGCCCCTTGAATTCTCACCTAGAGAAGAGTTGATTTAAGCATCCCTAGGACTGCAATAAATGCTCAGCTCTGCAGTGCACACAAGAAGGGCTGGAATGTCTGTGAAAAGGAGGAGAGGGATCAACCAGGAAAGGTAGAGCAGGAAGAAGATTGGAGTGGGCCCCACATAGTCTCAGAGACACAGGTTGGTTGGGGGCAGAGGGCTTACTCAGGGCACTTAGGCCTGTCAGAGTGAGATGGGGCTCAGCCCCTATACTTTTCAGAGCACTGGAGGTTGAATCCAAGTCTTCAGGCTTATTAGCCAAGCCTTCTACCACTTGCACCAAGCCCCCCAGTCCTTTGTGGCTTTTTGTTTGTTCGCTCATGAGGCAGAGTCTGGTGAACTTCTACTGAGGCTGTTCCCCAACCTCGATTCTCCTAACCACCATCTACCAAGTGGCTAGGATTACAGATGCCACACCTGGCTTCCAGAGCCCGTTTCAAGCCAAGGGAACTTTGATGCTTTATGGGATCAAAGAGGAAGAGGAGAATGTGGAAGCAGAGAAGGCACCCCAAAGCTAAGATCCCAGATAGTAATGTCCCTAAAACCAAGGAAATGGGCACAACACAGCACGTGGCTAAGCAGGATGTTAGTCTTATCCAAGTGAGCAAGTGCATATGCACAGGTGGGAAGGGTTAGGGGTATGAAGATGGTCAAGGACCTGAGACGGTGACCACCAATGCCTGGCCAGAGGTGGGGAGTGGGGGTGGGGAGGGAAATGGAGAGACACTGAGGTTGCAGTGGTAGGAAGGGGGAAAGACAGGAGTCGGAGGGTGTTGGAGAGAAGCTGTCCAGTCCCAGAAGAAACCTGCTTTCACTGAAAGAACAGGTGCAGGAAACTTGCCCTTCCTCAGAGGACCCCGAGGAGACATCCCTTCCTTCTATGGCTGTTCTGGTCTATTCTTGGTGTGCCTTTCCAGGTCTGAACAGGGCCTTGGCATTTGCATCCCTTTGGTGAGCTCAGAGATCTGTTCAGCGCCTGCACCTCTAGCAGCTCCTCTAAGATCCCTACAAGGTGCTGGCTTCACTCATGTCCTTATCCTGTAAAGGGCGGAGGCGGGGGTTGGGGAAAGGGTTTCAGGGAGAGGCTGAGGGCTGGCGGCTTGAGTCCTGTAGCTTCTCTTTTCCACTTACTGTTTCCCGGTGAAAACAGCAAGGGCTGAAGCTGGATATCCAGACTGCACCCAACAAACTCTATCTTCCTGTAGAAGATCTGACCACAAAGCGCTGCAAAGACTACTGGGAAAATTTTTAGAATCACACTGAAGCCACTAAGAACCTGGCTGTGCACCCCCAATAGAGACTAGGCTCACACTTCTCAACTCTGTTCCTCCTGCTCCTTAGGAGAGCTTAGCCTTCCTTCCAGATCCATGCCCAAGACCTTCACTGCATTCTATCTGATTGGTAAATTCTATTTAGCCAATTATCAACTTCCAAGACGCACCTTGTATTCTTATTTGTTTCCTACTGTAACCAAGAGATAGTGAATAACTGTGGGATAAAGTCATTTTACACGCATCTTAACGTATTTCTGCCACCAGTTCTTAGAAGAATGGGTGCTAGATCCGTGAGTGCCTTGAACTGGTCATCTTCATGGGGATTGCCATTGGGCCAAGTGCAGGCTCTCTTCATACCTGACTAATGACATGCGCTATGGAGGAATGCGGCCTCATCCATCAGCTAGCAGGAAGGATTTTGCAATTGCTTTCATTTGCATTTCTATTGTTGCAAAGGAAATTAAGCCAGATACAATAAACTCCAATCCCATCTGTGTGGGTTCTCTTTTTCTCTTGAGTTGTTGGTCTTTTCCTTTGATTGATTGGAATCATTTAAAAGGCAATGGAAAGTGGAAGCTTGGTTGTATTGTAAGTTGTATTTCCCCCCAGGTTGCCTTTGATGTATTTTCCCAGGTTTCCACTTACATTACAAATTTACATTATAGTTTTGCATCATACATTTCATATCTGCTTGCTATGATACTTCTGAGAAACCCAAAACAATAAATAGAAGAAAATACAATCCACAACATATTTATACACACACACACATATAAGTAACATTCTAATTTTCCTTTAAGTATTTCATTCTAAAGAATTGCAAGTAAATATCAATATGAATGTAAATGAATAGACATACATAGAGGATATAAAAACATAGGTCAATTACAAATTTCCAAGACATGTAGGTTTGAAATAGATCACTTCATTTTTCTCTACAACTGCTAAAGCCTATTTCAAACCCTCACTGTAAATTCTGGGGAGAAGGTAGACAGAGAGAGAGAGAGAGAGAGAAAGAGAGAAAGATCTTTGTATAAACTCAGAATTCATCCAGGCTTGGATGTAGCTCACTGGCAAAGCACTTGTCTAGCAAGTGCAGTGGCCTGGGTTTGATCCCCGGTACCAAAAAAGAAAGAAAGAAAGAAAAGAATTCATCCAGGATTTCTTCCCCATCCTCTCCTCTGGAGGTGGTATCTGAATTTTTGGGAGACTTAAATAACATCATAGAATTGAAGAGAGTGACAACAGGTTTGTGATAGACATCTGCTGAAATGTACATGCTCTCAACTACTTGTATTCAGCTGTTCCCGATAGCACAGATAAGCTGACCACCCACCCTCCTTCACTACCAAAGTCTGCTTTGAATGGCCTAAACCAGCCCTTGCCTTTCCTAACCCTATGCTGGGGAAATGAATATAGGGAATTCCTGCTGTTTTTCATCTTACAAAGAAAGAGCAAACACCTAAAGAAATTTAGGAAAAAATGACACCAGAGATGATCGTAAAGTTCTCATATGGACACATATTTTTCCATCATTGAAACTATATATAGGGCTGGGAAGATGGCTCAGTGGTAGAGCGCTTGCCTTGCATGCCTGAAGCCCTGGGTTCAATTCCTCAGCACCACATAAGCAAAAAGAAAAAAGCCAGAAGTGGTGCTGTGGCTCAAGAGGTAGAGCGCTAGCCTTGAGCTGAAAAGCTGAGGGACAGCGCCCAGGCCCAGAGTTCAGGCCCCACTACTGGACCCCCCCCCCAAAAAAAGAAACTTTATGTTTGCACATAAAGTATTATACATTTCACATGAGGAAATGATTGTGAGTACAGTCATTATTAAAGATGAAACATTGAGAATTTCTATTTTCAAGTTCGTATAAACCTTTCCTATTGTTAGATATCTATGCCAGTTCCAATTTTCCAATATCAAAAGTGAAACACTAAAGGTGGGCAC